TCGAGATCAAAGAGATAAGTGATTCCCTCGGCGTCGTACTGACGGCCGCGACGGTCCGCCTCTTCTATTGTGATAATCTCTCCGATATATTCCATTACGAAAGAGCCCTTTGGTATCGGTTCCAGCGCTCGGACTCCCCAGCCTTTGTTGTCATCGGTTTTGAAAATAGCAATTTTATGCTAAAGTGTCCAAAGAGTTAGACAATGGGTTTTACAAAGAAAGACAAATGGATGCAAACCTTTCGGCCCTTCTGTACGACTCTATTAATGCAATCTTGAGTGCACTTGCATTTGGAGTTACATTCATAGATCGCATTCCTGTATTTGCGTGAATCAAAGATTGTGGTCGACTTATTCCTGTTGTAAACGATAATCGTATTATTGGACTCAACACAACACCCGCTGCCCGGACTCTCACAGTCTTCGCAGTTCTCGCAATAGAGGGGCGGGTCGTCACTGATTTGGATACTCGAGTCAAATGTCTTGCACTTCGAGATGTACTCGAAGTGATGCGGCGGCACATCGACGTCGACATAGTTCTCCAGTTTGATGACCTGTCCCTCCCTTTCCTTTTGGATGATTTTATTCATGCCGTTCTCCCATTTGGAGAGCATGTGTTGCGTTTGTTTTCGTTTTATATAAAACTCGTTGAAGTCGTCGAAACTTTGGAACCGTTTCTTGAGATTCAAATCATTCATCAATTTGTTGAACAGTTCCTGCATTTTAATCACTCGGCGTTCAGTGTTTGTGATTTCGGAGATTTTGTCGATTCGTGACAAATGTTTGGCTTTTAACTCAATTCTCAATTTTCTGACACTAGTCTTAGAATACGCGAAACTCTTGAGCGAAATGTCGTTGAAGGCCACCAAAAGAGCGGTCATTACATCCATATCGAGCTTCTTCTCACAGATGTCTTCCACAATGGCCTTCAGTTTATAATAGTTGTGATACATTTCCATGAGTTGAGTGTCTTTCAGTTGATGGATGTGTCGGAACTCTTGCAACAGTTGTTTGCATTGACTCAGATTACTGGTCGGTTCCCACGTATTGTGCTCTTTGGCCCAATTTTTCCACTTCACTAAATACTCAATTACTTTGGTCTTGTCGTTGACTCCCATCTCATAAATGGATTCCACTTCATATTTGGCGCCATAAGTGACACAACAATCATCATCTGACTCGTCATCCGAGTCGTCGATGTTTAGCTCCAATCCCAGCGAAAGGCAATCCATTTGCACTTCTTTGCGGGTCTTCAGCGCCGGAACCAATACATGGTTTTCATTGCAATCTTGGATTAAATCCAATTTCAATTCTAATGGAATGTCGTAATCACTGAGAAGTAGATTCTTGTCAACCGTTTCTTCTTCGGCATCCGAATCGCTGTCCACTTCTTGTTTCACGTCTGGGATCGGGTCATCCATATTGGCGTCGATGTTATCATCGGTTGTGTCACAGATGGTCACCACTTCCTTATGAGCGGACTCTTCGGGATCAACACATTTCTTGCGTTTACTCGTCGATGGTTTGCATTCGTTGTGCGCATTCTTCGGGAACTCATCGATGCCGTCGTTCTGGTCATCACTGGTGTCATCGATGGTCACCACTTCCGAGTCAATCACCACTTTCGGGCATTTCTTCTTCGGTTGTTTACGTTTATTCTTCGGTGGCTTTGGTTTGTGTCCCAAATCCAAACCAATCGGTTTGTCGGCACTGAAGACAAGTGTCGTCTGTCTTAACGATCGGGACATTGGGTTTGGGCAGTGATTCTCACACATATGGCAAACCACTCGCGAGTGAATCGATGGCTAATTCATGAGATAATCGGTGTTTGAAATGAAATGCAATTCAAAACACAAATTGTTTCAAAACATTCAAAACAATGCAAAATGAGTCCCAAATTGCGCAGGCAAACCACTCGCGAGTGAATCGATGGCTAATTCATGAGATAATCGGTGTTTGAAATGAAATGCAATTCAAAACACAAATTGTTTCAAAACATTCAAAACAATGCAAAATGAGTCCCAAATTGCGCCAAACCTTATTGGCTCGCGCTTTGAATAGCGCTCCCATCGACTCAACCAATCAGAGACTGACACAACTCTCATCTAATGAACGGACCAATAGTGGCATCGCTTATACGGTGAGAGTCTATTGCGAGCCAATGGGAAGGCAGTGAACGAGTGCTGACGTATTGCCCGGCGTTTGACTCGATGTATAAAAAGTGTTTCGTTTTTGGCATTCATTTGGAATTCATTTCAAACTTTAATTCATTTTGAAATTTATTTTGTAATTAATTTCTCAATTAATTATCGCTTTCTTGAGATCACATCACAAGACAATGAACCCGATGTCCAACTCGTGGCCACTTCTGTGGCTCACAATCCTATTGGTGTGTCAGTTGTGGCGATCGACTCACTGTCTGCGCGAAGGCCAGTGCGAAGGTATGTCTTGTCCATCACATTCCTCGTGAGCCAATGCATTGATTGGATCCGTTGTCTCGTCCTATAGTGTGTGTCGGAGTCATAAACAAACTGATCAATCGTTTGGAGGACAAAGAGAAGAGCGATCACCTCTTGATTGAAGCCAAGTTCAAAGACCTGTGCTTAGAGTCGAAGAAGTCGGAGAACCGATTCGTAAGTGATATTTGTTGCATGTCTTGTACGACACGTGTATTGATTGACTGGTTTTGTCGTGTCTTCAGTGCTATTACATCGGAGGACTGGAAGAGTCGGCGACGAAGATCTTGGGTGAGATGTCGCGACCGCTGAGTTGGGGACTTCCGGCCGATAAGGTGTGCGAAAAGCTGATGAAAAAGGACTCTCAGATCTGCGAACTCC